TATTTGATAGTCAAATATGTGGCTACGTGTTTAAAGCAAACTGACATCTTTCATGAATAAAATAACATTGCTAGTTTGATGCTGTTTTTAGAGGCGTTCGAATACAGATACTTCCTTGTCTTCTCTACAGTACCGTTATAGCTCTTTGTAGAGAACATTTGATGCTGAAAATATACATATTGCTGAATAACTAATAATATTTTAATGCTTAACGTTTATATTAGCTTAACGCGTATATTAGCTTTTCAAAGTAATTTAACCTTTCCCTTACCTGATATAAAGAGTTAAACATGAACCGAGATTCTATCAACAAAACCGTCAATATTTAAAAAAAAATAAGTTCGCTATCACTGTATGTAATCTTTGCAGAGATTAATTTAACGCCTTTAAAGTAGTATCGATCTAGTAGTTAGATTCGATATCCGACATATAAGAATCGGTGATTATCGTGTGTTTATTAGATTCGGTGATTTGTGGGATTCAATATTACTATATTTTTCAAATTCGTTATATATCTATATAGCCTAAATACTTATTGTATTTATTACATATTTATAGTACCAATTTAAAGTACCATATTTATTTATAATACTCTATTTTTCTTTATAGTAATTTAAATAGTAGTGTTTAATTTATTTTCTACTTTTTAGTGCATCATTACATAAAAGCTTGTTATTTAAACGTTTTTTATGAATAAAAAATTTCAGTACTTTAAATGTTTTATTTACAATAGTGTTACATGACTAAAAACCATTGCGCGTCCATTGAACGTGATGGCGCAGCTATTAAACTTGATGGCGCAGCTATTGAACGTGATGACGCGTGTGGTGTGGTTGGATAGACATGCCTACTAATTCGGTCCAAATATTATTTAATTCATAAAAAATTAATTAGGCATCAAATTAAGTCAAATTTAATTTCAGATTGCATTGTCTTCATGTCTTGACCCACGTGTCAAATGTGAATCGTATCGGTCAAGTAGAAATGTCCGAATTTTCACTCCTGCGTTTCAATCTAGACTGACGACAGACAGACTGTCGACTGACGACAGAGGAAGCAAGTTAAATAAAAGCTTGTAAAAAGTGCCGTAAAATATAAAAACATGCCAATGCCGGGGTCAGATTAAGGTTCACGTTCAATCCTAATCCCCCGACTGGCCAATCAACTACTGTAGGTTGATTCATCTGTAACAGAGACCTTCAGATTCTAACAATCAAATTAGGAAGTGTTCAAATATTTTTTTTATTCAGAAAAAAAAGTATTCTTTCATCTTTTGCTTGACCGTAAGTAAGTTCCCTTTTCAAACCTGACGGTCTATAGTGCAAGTGAAGTAGAGTTCACTTGTTTCCGTAATTCGGCATATGAAGAGATGATGTGGTCAGCACTATGCCCAGCCGCCTTTACTTTTCCTAACGCGAGTTAGGTACCCATCAGAGTTGGGTGGACTCAGGGATGGTCTACTGACTTGAACCCGGTTTGGAACTCGAGACTTACGGGTTAGTAGTCTCTACCGCTAGACCACTCCGACCACTTTGCTTGACCATAACTTTCATTAAATTCTTTACATCAACAGCAGCCACTCATAGACTACAAAGTTTTGGAGTCATCCATAAAATACGTCACACTTCTAGGCACTGTTTCTTTGTGTCCCCCCCCCCCCCCATCCCCGCCGAAAAAAAAGTCTAAAGCAAAATCTTCCTCTACGGGGAAAGGGATTTGTAATTTTGTGTTATGGTGTGTTATGGTGCAGGGGGGAAGGGGCTGAGATAGAGTGACGTCACACTTCTGTATTTATATATCGCACTTTAGAAAACTGTTTGCGTAAATTGTAATGGAAATTGATCGAAATACTATACTATTAAGTTATACGATGGGCCCTACACTTTTATTAAGTTATATGATCAGCCATACATTACTATTAAGTTATATGTTCGACCATACTCTTCTATTAAGTTATGTAATGGGCCCTACATGTAATGGGCCCTACACTACTATTAAGTTATACGATGGGCCCTACACTTTTGTTAAGTTATACGATCAGCCATACATTACTATTAAGTTATATGTTGGGCCATACTCTTCTATTATGTAATAGGCCCTACACTATTATTAAGTTATAGGATGGGTCATACACTTTATTAAGTTATATGATCGGCCATACACAGGCACTCATTTTGCAATCGCTGTGGCATAAGATCAAAGAGGCGGGCAGGATCTCGATTTCGGACACTTCAAACTGACAGATTTGGTTCAAAGTTGGTACTTGGGTCAAGACATGAAGAGAATGCAATTTGACTTTAAATTTTGACTTAATTGGATGCCTAATTAATTTTTTATGAATTAATTAAAACTGTGTCCAAATAAGTAGGCAGTATTATGCAACTATTCCGCACTAATATACGCGCGTGATCACGTTCATTAGGTGCGCAATGGTTTTTTATGCATGCAACTCTAATGTACATTTTAAAAATGTAAAGTACTGAAAGAAATTCATAAAAAATTGTTAATATAAAACGTATTAAAAAAATAACCAGCTTTTATTAGTCATTTTAAAAAAAAATCATAAAAAACGTTTTAATAACAAGCTTTTATGTAATAATGCACTAAAAAGTAGAAAATGTATTATACACCATTTAAATTACTATAAAGAAAAGCGTGGGTCACTTGAGTATCTATTGGATACCTTTACTAATACTTAAGAAGAGACCCACGCTTTTCTTTATAATAATTTAAATAGTAGTGTATTGTTTTTTTTCCTCCTTTTTAATGCATTATTACATAAAAGCTTGTTATTTAAACGGTTTTTGTGATTTTTTTTTATAAAATATTTTTTCAAACAAGTATAGCATTACAAAAATATAGTCTTATAATTCACGTGTAACTTTTGCTGATGGCTATATATTTATTGTTCGGATGGGGGGGGGGGGGTACACAAAACCTGTCGACGCCACAGTCTAGGACCTAGAGCAGGGGTCTCCAAACTTTTCAATCCGAGGGCCGCATTAACTATCAAATTTCATTTCGGGGGCCAGTTTCTTCCAGGCATGTCTTTGATTTTTCTGGGCTAAGTTCCTCAGCCATCACCAACAAACGGTTTTTCCGTGGACAAAAAGATCTCCGGGGGCCGGATGAGAGGACATCGCGGGCCGCATCCGGCCCGCGGGCCGTAGTTTGGAGACCCCTGACCTAGAGTATGCACTATTTTCAATTATTTTCTTTTTAAATAAATTAAAACAACTGGGCTGCGTTTTTTTAGATTAATACGTCGCTACGAAAATTATTTTTGGTGGATTTATATGAAATTTTTCACAATTGCGTCTAATATTATTCATTCAGACAACAGAGTTACTTTTTTTTTTTTTTTTTTTTTTTTATCTTTCCATTATTACTGTTAAAATAATTCTTTTTGGATTTTACAATGATGAGAAAGCCACACGGAGTGTTATGTTAGGTCTGTGGAAAAGGACTATTGTTTAAGCTGAACTTTCTCAACATCTCTACAAGACAATTTTTTAAATTCAGCTAGCTGTTTGCAATTAAAATTTGATCCTGATAATAATTTAAAATTACAAAACAAAGCCTATGCAATCCTTTTTATAAGACTTTTAGAAATGTTCTTGTTTTAATTTATACTGTAAACAATGTTTTCCATTTTTGAAAATTATTTATGAATTTCTTCGTACATGTAGCCTTTTTTTTGTGATCAAAGTTATAGGTTATCCTTCTTGGTTAATGTAAATGTATAAATGAAAATTTACGTAGTCGAATTAATTAAATACATTTTCTTGATTCGGATATAATTACATTAATTCATCTGAAATTTAAATGAGCAATATATAGGCCTACATTTTCCATCTACTAAAGTATCTATGAATATAAAGGCTAAAGTGGGAAAAGTTTTTTTCTTAGTTTGTATTTGTTAGTCAAATATGTGGCTATGTGTTTAAAGCAAACTTTGACATCTTTCATGAATAAAATAACATTGCTAGTTTGTTGCTGTTTTAGACGCGTTCGAAAACAGACAATTCTTTTTCTTAAAGTAATTTAACATTGCACTTACCGGAGATAAAAAGTTCAATCACACCTGAAATATTTTTATTACACTTGTCAGTTGTCTGCCCTGTAGTTTATAAGAACATGCTCGCGATTAAAATAAGTAATCTCACAAGAGGAGGGTAGGAAGGTACTGAATTGTCCCATTTGGGAAAACGGCCTTCAGACAAACGGCATTCGGGCAAGTGTCTTTCTTGAAAACAACCTGCTCCCTTAAGTAATAATTGTCTGATGCAGTAATCGCCAGATTTGTATGTCAGCAATTTTGAGTTATTTTGTATTTATGTGATTCGGTATCTGTGATTCGATATTAATCAGATTATATTCTCAGATTTCGGGTAATGAGAAAACATCAAATTCAGTTTTAACTGTGTCGAACTTGTACAGATAAAATATCATATTTAATCTAAAATAAAACAAAAACAACCCTACTTATGCCTCACGAACTTGGTCCATAAAATCCTACACTAACTTGTCCAGAACACGATTAAAACTCATTCTATACCAGGGGGTTTTCCACCTCCTGACCTCATTGTTTCGTGACCCAATTTTTTTACACAGCCCTCACCTACTTAAATGATTATAGCTCCTATGTTTTTCTAACCAGAATTATGTATTATACATCAAAATAAACAGAAATGAATTTTCTATAGTAATAAATGAAGATAATTGAGGGTTATGTTAAAGAAAGTAGTTTTTTTACATGTGAAAATGAGGTGTTAGTGTAACAACACATAAAAAAAAAAAAAATATTTCCTACTTACATAATCACAAGTCACCAACCACTTACCCAAACTTTATGAAACTTACACATTTTGTTGGTTATCCATATATACACAATGTATCCAAATATGAAAGAAAACACTTGTAAAATTAAAAAGTTATGCACAAAAAACTAAAAAGATTGAAAAGCTGAAAACAGGACATCTTTTTTTACAACTAGCATACTAAGATTTATAGTTACTCTTAGTATGCCAAATTCTAAAGCAGGGCTCCTTACATAAAAATGGTTGACCAGGACAATCTGCACATACATTGCTGGTTCTTTTGCGAGCACCTGGTTTACTACAGACCTGACAATTACGGTCTTTTTTAGCCGACATAGGGATATGTATTTTAGCGGCTAGCCGAATGGTTGGATTGTCAGTAACCAAATTCACACTTGGCTGTGGTTGCTGGGCTAGGGCAATATCCACAGGTTTCTCAACAAGTGATCTACCAGCTTCAGCTATAAGTTGAACAATCAAGTTGGACTTGAACTGAGCTAGACTGATCTTCGCTTGCTCTGGGTGAGACTCACGAAATAAAATCGCAGCGTTGACATGGCAGATTTCCAACAGCCAGTGGAATATTTTTTTCCACCACTCGTGGCTTTTTCTTTTGTGGCAGCCATAGTAGCCAACTAGCTGATCTGCTCTATCACAACCATTCATATTTTGATTATATAAATTTATGGCTGTTGGTTTTTCGACGTCACCACGTTTGGTTTCGATTAGTGTTTTGCTAACACTTCCTTGACTGGTCACAACTGACACAAACCTTTTAGCCTTTTTATCCCTAAATGCCACTGTAAGGTACTTGTTTTCATGCATGTACCACTTCATCTCCATATGGCTCAAGACAAGAGACTTGAGTGCAGGAGGGAAATTTTTCCGTCTTATGTCGACCGTGCCAGTATAATAATGACTCTGACGGCTGAGAAACTCAAGCAGAGGTACAGAGGTGTAAAACCTATCTGCAAAAATATGGTGGCCTTTTGTTAGTGGTGTCAACAATTTTTGAAAAACCTTCTCAGCCATGGTGCAATTTTTGTCTAGGTCTGGATGATAAGTAGTCTCAGAACCGTAGTACGTAAATAGTAAATAAATTTACGACATACCCCGTCTTATTGTCGCACAAGCCAAATGTTTTTATATGATATTTAGAAGGCTTTGTGGCATTGAACTGTTTGTTCTTCCACCTTCCCTTATATCCAATGACCATTTCATCGACAGATAAATTAAGACCGGGGTAAAATGCATCTTGGAATGATGCCATCAATGTATTGAGAAAGGGCTCAATTTTATCTTGCGACTCTGCCTTGTCACCAGCCGCATGTAAAAATGTGTGGTAAAGGGCCTGAAATCTGTTTCTGGCCATGGTTTGTCCATACCAAGGTGTAAAAAGGTGGGCTTCTTTTACAGACCAGTAGCTTTTTATTGAAGGCCTAGGGTTGAGGCCCATAGCTATCAAAATAGCAAACAATTTCAACAACTCTGGTCTCGTTACTGGTTGAAATTTGTAGTACACTGAATGCCTGAGCTGAGGAAACACTAATTTTCCCCTAGCATACTCATTGATATTAGCTAATAATAGCTCAATGATCTGGTCATTCAATAAAGTGAGCAGGCAATCTAGCTCAGTTGACTCGGGTGTTATTTTATCCGAGTTTACGCCATGGGATTCGTGGCGAACAAAACGAAAGTTGTTTTGCGTTGTACCTTTATTTACTTCTGCCCAAATAAAATTAGTAGTACTAGTTGTAGTAGCAGTACTACTGACAGTTACAGGCTCATCCTGTCCTGTTACAAAAGTATTAGTACTAGCAGTATTAGTACCAGCTTTCCTTTTTTTAGGCATGGGTCCCTTACCCTTCCCTGCAGAAGGTTTGCCACACCCACTTTTGTTGTTATCACAATCACTATCAGTATCACCACTACTACCAGATCTATCACCCTCACTGCTTGATGAATAATTATTATCTTCATCAGATGATAAAACCGATGTTTCTTCATCTGAATCTAAATTATTCATCCACTCATCAAGCATAACGCGTGCTTTTTCAGCACAAAATCGCTTGAGTGGGCGTTGGCCTGAGGGACCTGATTCCATAATAATTTTTTTAAACGTAAACACAAAGTTTAAACTTGAATAAAACACACGTGAAACACTCCCAGTGCAAAATTTTTGAACCGAAAGAAAGATCCGGATGTCGTGTATTTAAAAACATGGATTTGAATAAGTTAGTTTAAATATTGGACTGAATTTTCGCATGAAACAAACACTAGGGTTGCCAAGCCGGAGACTCCGGCTCGCGGGCCTACGGTGAAGCTGGCGCGAGCCGGAATCTCCGGCTCATGGGACGGATTGTGTTAACTAAATGTAAAAAAGTGGATGTAACCTTTGTGTTGTTATATTTGCAGGTACAACCGTGTTGAATCACACATCCCATATCATATAGCGCATAGCATGTTGGCACGCATTGCTTAATTTTATGATGGAGGGAAGCAATGTGGCTAACAGATGCTAAATTAATTTGTGTATTATCTTCGTCTTCTTCGTTCTTAATTCTAGTGTTCTAGATCTATTTCTAATTTTTCTAATTGGTATTTGTTGCCTATGTTATACTAAATGTGTGTGGATATTTTACTATTTAGTTATTTCTTTGCATTTTCACTAATATACACGCGTCCTGACGACGCCACTGCCTAGGACTGAGAGTGTGTACTATTTTAAATTATTTTCTTTTATTAAATATTATATTAAATCAACACAGAGTGTTTTGCGTGAACAGACAATGATGAAATAACACTCAATAAACTGAAGTTTCTCATCATGTCTACAGGTCAATTTTTTAATTAAGCTAAATATTAGCAATTACAACATGAGCCTGATAATAATTTAAAATTACAAAACAAAGGCTAAACAATCCTTTTTATAAGACTTGTAAAAATATTCTTGTTTTAATTTACACTCTAAACAATGTTTTGTATTTTTATAAAATATTTATGAATTTCTTTGTACATTTTGCCATTTTTTAAATCAAAGTTGTAGGTTATCCTTCTTGGTTAATTTAAATTTATAAATGGAAATTAGCGTAGGCGAATTAAATAAATACATTTTCTTGATTCGGATATAATTCATCTGAAATTTAAATGAGCAAGATATAAGCCTACATTTTCCATATACAAATGTATCTATGAATATAAAGGCTAAAGTGGGAAAAATGTTTCTTAGTTTGTATTTGATAGTCATATATATGGCTATGTGTTTAAATCAAACTTTTATATCTTTTATGAAAAAATAACATTGCTAGTTTAATGCTGTTTTTATAGGCGTTCGAATACAGGCACTCCCTTGTCTTATCTACAGCTCAGTCTTAATTCCTTGTAGCGAACATTTGATGCATGAAGGAAAGTAGTTTTCGGATACAAAAATGTTTTCTTAAAAATTTTTATTAATGTTTTAATTAGAGAAACTGTGACCTAACCTCGGATAAAATGTTAAACCAGAACTGAAATACTTTCATTCATTTTTCAGAACTGTGAATTAGGTATAAAATATTTTTCTCAAACAGGTATAGCATAACAAAAGTATAGGCCTATAATTCACGTGTAATGGGTGTCGATCACTAGTATATATATATATATATATATATATATATATATATATATATATATATATATATATATATATATATATATATATATATTGTTACGACTGTGGGGACGTGGGGACGTAGATTGCAGGGGTAGGATTGACAATAGACGTGACCCAGACTAAACAGGTCTTGATGAAGACGATTAGCGGAGCAAGTGTTACAATTAGATTGTAATTACGGACGTCGGCATTAATGGGGGGGGGGGGGGGGGCGGGTAGGTGTTGCAGACACGTATCTAGTTGGCCTGGGTGACCGTAATGGGGGTGGTTCATTAGCAGGGTCTGACATTTTAATCAGGTACTCCAGAACTGTTGGCGACATGCAGATTAGGTTAGCCCGGATGGGGAAGACAAAAAAGTGAGGACTAGGAGGGTTAGAGACAGTCAGGGCATAGCAGCTCACCAGGGAGGACGTGTAGTTGTAGATAGTATAGGTTAGACTAAGTGTTAGGATTTTCATATATTGTATCTAGGTGGTGGTTATTCTTAAATGTTGTACATGTGTTGTGAGAATTAAACTTTAGCGATTTTCGAAAGTTGTTCCTTAGTCTTATTTACTTGTTTTTGTTTACAATTCCCTGACTAGTTCGAAAGGATTAGAAAAGGGGTAATAACAATAAATATATATATATATATATATATATATATATATATATATATATATATATATATATATATATATATATATATATATATATATATGTGTGTGTGTGTGTGTGTGTGTGTGTGTTGTTCGGTGGGGGGGACGAACACCCGACATGACGACGCCACTGCCTAGACTAAGAGTCGGCAACCTGCGGCTCGCCAGCCGTATGCGGCTTTTTTTGATGTCAGGATGCGGCTCGCCAGTTCCATAATAATGATATTATTTTATTTTCATAACTCATAAACAAATTATACTGGAAAACAACTTTAAACAAAATAAAAACACTAAAAATAGGTGGAGTAGAGCGTATACAAAAAGCTGACAGCTGCATGGACACAAGGCCCAGCCCCACAACTGTGATGTGGCCAGCCCTGTGGCAGTGGTTTCATGATTTCAACTACCGAAGTGCAATTTAAAAAAAAAATATTTTCAATAGTAAAGGTTATTTTAATCAGAAGGCATTTTTGTATGTTTTACCGTGCATTAATTTGACTTGAGTGGCATATTCTTATAGTTATTAGCTTCTAAATTGGAAGGGGTAGTTTTATAATTGGATTTTATTATCCTAAAAGAACTAGTTGAAATACTTTATTTTTCAAACTTAAACTCATAAAAAAAAAATTATTTAGCTAATCCTAATCAAATATTGAAGAACAATTTTTAATGGATATTTAAAAACTGGGAAATTTTGTAAATTGTAACTTTTGGCTCTTACAACTCAAAGGATTGCCAACCCGTGGCCTAGACCTAGAGTGTTTACTATTTTCAATTATATTCTTTTATAAATAAATTAAAACAACAGAGTTACACGGAGTGTTGTGTCCGTCATAAAACGGCTGATGATATTGTTTAAACTGAACTTTCTCATTATATATACACGTCAATTCTTTAATTCAGCTAGCTGTTTGCAATTAAAACTTGAGCCTGATAATAATTTAAAATTTAAAATAAAACATGTAAAGTACTGAAAAAAAAATTCATAAAAAACGTTTTAATAACAAGCTTTTATGTAATAATGCACTAAAAAGTAGAAAATAATTTATAGACTACTATTTAAATAACTAGAAAGAAAAGCGTAACTTTTGGCTATTACACCTGAAAAGGTTGCCGACCCCTGGACTAGACCAAGAGTACTATTTTCAATTACATTCTTTTATAAATAAATTAAATTTTTTTTTTTTTTCTTCCTTCTTTCTTTTCTTTCTTTTTTTTTTTTTTTTTTTTTTTTCTCTCTCTTTTTTTTTCCGCCTCAGACACGTATTGTGTAGCGTCAGTTGTGTGTTCGCTTTAGTATTACAGTTTTCATCATCGGCTTGTGAGGACTGATACAGATTTATTATTTGTAAATAAATTAAAACAACAGAGTAACACGGAGTGTTGTGGCAACCGTCCAAACCAAAAGATCATTGCTAATACTGATCTTTCTTATCATATCAACAAGTCATTTCTTTAACTCAGCTAGCTGTTTGCAATTAAAACTTGAGCCTGATAATAATTTAAAATTAAAAAACAAAGGCTATTCGATCCTTTTTATAAGATTTTAAAAAATATTTAGTTTTGATTTGCACTGTCAACAATGTTTTGTATTTTTCAAAATTATTTATGAATTTCTTTGTACATTTAGACATTTTTGGGAGCACCCTTGTAGGTTATCCTTCTTGGTTATTTTAAATTTATAAGTGGAAATTAGTGTAAGCGAATTAATTTAAAAAAGTTCTTGGTTCGGATTTAATTAAATTAATTCACATGAAATTTAAAAGAGCAAGATAAAAGCCTACATTT